TAAATAATTTTTATTTAACTACGTTTGTTTTTCTTTGAGTATTTTTTGGGATTGTGTTTTTTCTCCTTTCATTTAATAATTTTCGTTTTTTTCTCATGTAATGCTTAAAATACTTGTTTAATAACTAAATTGTTTTTATTTTTTCTAATATTTTCATTTTTTGTTGTAATTTGGCATATTGTTGTTTGTTATTTTCAGTTTTCATATGTCACTTAATTAATTTGTTTTTTTTTTCTGTTTTTTAATTAAATTTATATTTTCTTTTTTTAAAAAATAGTTAACTTTATACTGCTTAGTCTTTTCAGACAATGTTTTTATGTTAATTTTTTAATTCAGTTTTTTTGTTTGTTTTGTTTAATTTTCTTTTCTGTTTTAAACTCATTTAGTTTGTTTCGTTTGTCTGTGAGTGTGGTAATTTGTCATTAAAAAAGGTACGGGAGCACAGGGGTTTTGGGAAAATTAAGATCTTTTTTTTAGGAAAATTTCAATATTTTATAAATTTTTATATTATTAATTATCTGCATTCTCCCTGAATTCAATTAAAAATTGGTTAAATAATGAGCGCAAGAATAAAAATTGATGAAATCTACATACAAATATATTTGGTGTGTGTATTGTTTTTTTTTTGTTTTCTAAAAAATGGCAGTGGTTGGCGGCACTATGTAGGGTGTTTGTTTCTTTCGTTTTTTTGGGAATGAAAATAACAAGGGTTTTTATTTTGGGATTTTATTATTGAAGCAATGTTTTGAATCAGTTTTCTTTTATACAAAATTAGAATTGAACTCAAGGATATGCAGATGTTTAAAAAGTCTCACAACTTTTTAGGAAATCATTTCAATGCTCTAGGCCGGAGATAAAATTAATCTTAAAATTATAAAAATTTTTAGAAATGCTTCTAGAAAAAATCCAAAATTTAACAATTCAAACTTATTCCCACCTTTGAGGGACTATTGGATAATCTATTGGGGCTGCTTCTTCTTTCAATTTATTATTTATTCTGTCCGTGGGTTAAGAGCCGAATTGAGATAGAGAGTCCAGAAATTTTGTACACTGCGTTTCTGGTTTGAACTTAGATCAATTTCGAAAATTGCCTATATCGGCCAACTGTTTCGTGTCGCCCCTATATTACGATACCCCCTTATTTTAAGCATTTCGACTACTTCCCGCAAATTTTTATACGAATTGTTTGGAATTTGATATTTGAAGGTTGGGTTCTTAACCATCTTGCAAAAAAAAAAAATAAAGTTAATACAGGCCCACATTGTCGTACGGTGCCACCGTTATATGGGAGTTATATTCTGAGGCTTTCCCCAATTTTTCAACGGAATTGTCCGAAATGTTGTATTAGAAGTCTAAAACCGGAGTTATATTCTGAGGCTTTCCCCAATTTTTCAACGGAATTGTCTGAAATGTTGTATTCGAAGTCTAAAATTGGTGTCAAACTGTCTTACAAAATAATTGTTGATATAGGTCTTAATTTTGACTTTACATGGTAGGGGGTATCAAAAGTTCGGCCCGGCCGAAGTAACTACTTTCTCACTTGTTTTATTTCAATTTCTAATCTGAAGGAATAAACACCCACCGGACGAGTTCATATCAAGTTTTATATCCAGTCCCATTACGAAAGACAGTTTTAAAATTCCTGAGAAATTCCAATCAGTTCTAGGTTGTTCTTCTTAAAGGTTATTCTAAAAATCTTGATTTGTTTCAGACATTTTTTGTCCCTAGAATAAGTTTAAATCCCTTATAATCTTCATCCATCGGTCACATACACTATTTCTTCTAGAGTAATTGCTTGTTTCTGTGTTGAATTCGGTCGGTTAAGCCAAAATAGATCCATCTGGACTAATATTACACAAATGGCGCCCAATAAAATTGAAAACGGTCGAAGACATTTATGCGTTGTAATTTCTTGATGTACTACCCCGATTTTGAAGATTCTACCTACACTTTTCAATTTTGATGTCCAGAGTTCGTAAAAGGCGACGACCTCTCTGGCAGAATTTTTTTAATTATAGTGGCTCACGTTTTCTTATAGTTCCAGTTATATGGAAAAAGCCCTGATATTCGTTTTTTTTAATTTTAGCGTCATTTTCGACGGAATTTTTTACATTCTGCAGTTTTTTTTTTAAATTATGGAGGGACGGTGAAATCGAATGGTCAGGAAATGAACGAGATTGAATCCAGAGTCTCGACGTCAATATGACGAGTATTTTCCGAGAATAAAAAACTTAAATTTAAGACTTGTAATGGGTTTGATTATCGGCCACTGTAAAATATGGGCCATGACATCCGAATCGAGAAGAATTGATATTGAGGACGGAGAAGAAATATAAATTAATCGAGTATTTGTTTAGCCACCATCCAATCTTGATCCAAGTTTTAATCAAAATTTATCCTGCAAGTCAAAAAAAATTGTGAATGGTTACTATATATATTTATATATATAAAGTGAAACAACTGAGTAACTGATTTAATCAATCAATGTCCAGATGAAGTTTGGCATTTTGCACGGTTTTGGTGCGTAGACGTGTGAAAGGGCTGCGTTTCTAGAAATTCGTACTAAAAGGGTACGAAAAATGTAATAATTTGTATTAAAGAAACGGAATGAGCTAGAATTCTAAAATTTGGAATGAGAATCCCTGATGGAGTGCAGGATAGTTGTATCAAAGCTTTTTTTTTGGAAATTCAAACCTTAAGGTTTCGAAAAGTTCGACGACGTTAAAAATAAATTTTAACCAGAAAAAGTGGATTTGGATCCATTGTACAATGTTTTTTTTAAATATCCTCTTAACGACAGATTTTTCTTTCCGAAAAAGGAAAAAAATGAATAATCTTTATAGATTATAATACCTTAATATTCTGAAAAATTGTCAAACTGTACAAATTATAAATTTTGAGCACTAAAAAGGCCTAACACGAAGTGTTGGAACAAATCTCAAAATTTTAAAGAGGACTTTTCGCTGGCGAAGTAGCGTTTACTTGCTAGTAAAATTATATAACTGAAATGCAGGGATTACCAGAAATCTGAATCCAAAATTTTCAAAAAATGTGAAAAGTCGGGCAACTTCTATTTGGGTTACTTTGAGATGTAATCGTTCAAAACACCGATAAATTTTTTTTCCTTTAATTTTTTTTGAAAAAAATTGAATTAGGTCGCACTACGTAATCCATCCAATCCATGTTCGTTTAGTAAAAATGCAATTGATTTTAAGATTTTTTTGATTTTGGATTAATATCTAGAATTAGACAATTACGAGTCACTTCGCGACCCTAACCTAAACGGTATTGTTTCTAAATGTTTTTGTTTTCAACATATCCAATTAGTTGACGTTAATCGAACATCTTTCACGTGAAGGGAACAGACCTTTCAAGAACACAAACTTCAAGTTTCAGCTGAATTGGTTAGAAATTGCGGCAGAAACCTTCAAAATACCGAAAACTTGAACGCACTGTTGTATGGGGGCTATACCCATAGTTTACCATATTTTTTCCAGGGAGAGAACAGGCCTACCAAGAACCCCAAACTTCAAGTTTCAGTTGAGTTGGTTGAAAATTGTGGCAAAAAACTTCAAAATATCGAAAGTCGGAAGATACCGTTGTATCGGGGCTATACCAATTAGTGAGCTTGTAGCAACAATTTTTTGCAGGGAGAGAACAGAATTACCAAGGACCTGAAATATCAAATTTCAGCTGATTTGGTTGGAAATTGTGGTAGAAACCTTAAAAATACAGAAAATCGGGAGGAACTGTTTTATGAGGGCCTATAGCCCTGAATCGAGAGAACAGACCTTCCATTAACCCAAATTGTCAAGTTTTAGCTGATTTAGTTAGAAATTATTTCAGAAACCTTTAAAATATCGAAAATCTGAAGGTACCGTTATATGGGGGCTATACTTGAACGTGGACCTATATAACCCATCTTTTTCATCATTTTCCATCATTTTTTCCAATCAGCTCGCATATAATATAAAGCTTTGTGTCAAGGCTCTAGATTAATTATTGTGGACTCTATCGTGATTTCAACAGACAGACGGACATCATTAAATCGCCTTTTAATTTTATTCTGATCAGGAAGATATATACTTTTTAGGGTCTCCTACGAATATTACGAGGTGTTGCAAACCGAATGAAAAATTTATTATACCCTCAATGTATGTTGGAGGATTTGATCTAATTTATTTAACTGTCAAAATAATTTACATTCCAACGGAAGACTGATTTGTTCTCATGCTCAATTTTTGAAGACTATCGCCTTTTTTCACTCCTCCGAGCATCGAAATTTTCAAAAACAATAGTGAAAACATTTTTTTGTCAATTTAAATTATTAAATCTTAAATCTTTTTTTTATCACTCTTCTAAAAAAAAAAAAAATAAAAACTCAAATATAAAACTTGAATTCTGAATTATTAGAAAATTGATATATCTTAAAGTTCCACAAAACCACCATGCCCCGTTGTTATTTACATGTAAGAATTTCATTCCAGAATTTCGAGTTTTAGAAGAAATACGGTTGCAAGTCAGTTTTCAGATTCAATTATTCAGTTATAGATAGAGAGATACATTGATAGAGAAAGAGAGAGTGACCGATAGTTTCAGTTTGTTTGTTTATCTGTTTTGTACACTTGTTGTTGTTGGTTTTCCTTTTTTGTTATTAATCCTTATGTTTTCTTGTTACTTTAATTTGATTCTTTAGTTCACCTTGTTTGTTTTTTGTTTTCATTTATTTAAATTGATCCTATCACAGCAACAAACTTCATGTCGTCTTCTTCTTATTTTTTTTCTAATAATTTTTTTCTACTTCTTCTTCTGATTCAATTTACCAAACAATTCTCAATGATCTTAAGGGGAAATTAAAAATGGGAAACATAATTTTACAATTTTTTATATTTTTTTGCTTAACAAAAAATGATAAAAAAGCTTACTATTTGTTTTGCATTGCAGAGCATTTGTTAGATTTTAATTTTTTTTTAACATTTCTTGATCGTTTTTCATTTTTTTAAATTAAAAGTTAATTTAATTATTGCATTGTTGTAGTTGTTATATTTTTTATTTGTTATCCATCGTTTGTCTATTATTTTCTGACATTTTAATTTTTACGAGTTATTGTTGTTTATGGTTATTATTATTAATTATATTCTTGATGTTGTTGTTGTTGTTGTTCTTGTTGTCGTCCTATAATTTGTTTATCTTCGTTGACCAGGCACATGTGCTTAAATGAATTGTATGCAAAATTTTCAAAAAACTCCAATTCCAAAATAATTGCAAAAAAAGAGGTTGTCCTTAAAATTCTTGTCGTTGATGATGACTTGTGGCGGGGGGGTGGAGAGCGCATTATTTATCGCCGTAAGCTATGGCTTAGCATTGAAGCAGTAGCAGCAGTAGTTGTCTTACTACAACGACAGCAATAGGCGTAAGCAAGGGCTTTGTTGCAGTTGTTTTTGTCGAAATATAGCAAACTTATTGTTGTTGTTTTTCTTGTAGCATACAAACGCAGCATAACAGCAAAGTTATGGGAACTGCAAAGAGAAAGAGTTTTTTGTGGGGGTGGAAGAGAAGAAGGAAATAGACAAAAATAGAATTAGTATAAATTTCATAAAAAAATTATACCGAAAGAGTTCCCAAAACGAATCGAACCACTAGACAAGGACCACTAATCAAGGACCGAGGCACAGACTTGGATTTTTTAAAAAATATTTTTCAAGGACCAATAGAGTCACAAACGTGGATTTTTTAAACAATATTTTTTAAGGACCAACAGACCAATAAACATGGATTTTTTAAACAATATTTTTCAAGGATTAACAGACCAATAAACGTGGATTTTTTAAACAATATTTTTCAAGGACTAACAGACTAATAAACGTGGATTTTTTAAACAATATTTTTCAAGGACTAAGAGAACCAATAAACGTGGATTTTTCAAACAATATTTTTCAAGGAAGAACCGAGGCACAAACGTGGATTTTTTAAAGAATATTTTTCAAGGACCATGTCCCCAATAAACGTGGATTTTTTAAAGAATATTTTTCAAGGACCATGTCCCCAATAAACTTGGATTTTTTAAAGAATATTTTTCAAGGACCAACAGTGGCACAAACGTGGATTTTTTAAAGAATATTTTTCAACGACCAACAGTGGTAAGAAAGTGGATTTTTTATAAAATATTTTTCAACGACCAACAGTGGTACAAACGTGGATTTTTTATAAAATATTTTTCAAGGACCGACAGTGGTACAAACGTGGATTTTTTATAAAATATTTTTCAAGGACCGACAGTGGTACAAACGTGGATTTTTTATAAAATATTTTTCAAGGACCGACAGTGGTACAAACGTGGATTTTTTATAAAATATTTTTCAAGGACCGACAGTGGTACAAACGTGGATTTTTTATAAAATATTTTTCACAGGCCGACAGTGGAACAAACGTGGATTTTTTATAAAATATTTTTCACGGGCCGACAGTGGTACAAACGTGGATTTTTTTATAAAATATTTTTCAAGGACCGACAGTGGTACAAACGTGGATTTTTTATAAAATATTTTTCAAGGACCAACAGTGCTGGATTTTTTATAAAATATTTTTCAAGGACCAACAGTGGTGTATTTTTTATAAAATATTTTTCAAGGACCAACAGTGGTACAAACGTGGATTTTTTATAAAATATTTTTCAAGGACCAACAGTGGTGTATTTTTTATAAAATATTTTTCAAGGACCAACAGTGGTACAAACGTAGATTTTTTATAAAATATTTTTCAAGGACCAACAGTGGTGGATTTTTTATAAAATATTTTTCAAGGACCAACAGTGGTACAAACGTGGATTTTTTAAAGGATATTTTTTAAGAACCCACAGAGGCACAAACGTGGATTTTTTATAAAATATTTTTCAAGGACCAACAGTGGTACAAACGTGGATTTTTTATAAAATATTTTTCAAGGACCAACAGTGGTACAAACGTGGATTTTTTATAAAATATTTTTCAAGGAACAACAGTGGTACAAACGTGGATTTTTTATAAAATATTTTTCAAGGACCAACAGTGGTACAAACGTGGATTTTTTAAAGAATATTTTAAAAGGACCAACAGTGGTACAAACGTGGATTTTTCATAAAATATTTTTCAAGGACCAACAGTGGTACAAACGTGGATTTTTTATAAAATATTTTTCAAGGACCAATAAAAGAATAATACCTATAAATACTATAAACTTTTTTGTTAATGAAATAAAATTGCTATTCAGGTTTGACCTGTTTTTGGAACTCTTTCAGTAATCTATTATTTAAAAATATTTCAATTAAATACATTTATTTTTAAATATTGAGATTTCATAGAAGAACTTACAATAAAATGGGGTGCTGAAAACAATACAGCCAATGTGGCTATTATGGTAAATAACGTAAACACAATAAGGCACAAACGATCCACTACCATGGCAGCAAATTTCCAATCTCTGGTTACATCACCGGTTTCATCTTCTTTTTTCAACTTTAAAATATATTACACAAAAGAAATCAACAATTAACAAAATAAAAATAATATTTTTGTACCAAAAAAATATAAACAATTTTACACGATGACCCAAATGTAAGGATACACAATTTATTCGGACGCCTCGTTTCTTTTTGAAAATTGATTTTTTTTCTTAAAAATTAAGATAAACCGAAATCAAAACTAAATAACTGTCTAATTTTTATGTACGTTTTAAAAATTATTAACCACAATTTCTTAACCATTTGTATTCATCAATTTTCCAATTTGTAGTTTTTTTTTTTTAAATTTGTTGATTGGAAATTGAAAAAAGCGAAATTTGCCGTATCTTTTGTTCCCTAATAGAAATTATAATTTTATTTTTTTTTATTATTTTCTACTTTTGACGGCTTCCATCACGCAAAAGCGGTGATGAACACGGCGATTGGTATTTTGATGTGGCAATTTGGTTAATCATTGTTCAAACAGAACGTCGGGAACTTTGTGCTTTTCCCGCGTGTTCTGTGTTCCTGCTTGCTTGGAAAATAGAAACATCGAAAGAGAACAATATTTTTTTGCAGTTGTTAGTAATTAGTTAATACTTAAATTTATGTTTTGATAGAGAAAGTCATATAAATATAAAATTGACAAAAAATTTATAAATGTGAAAAACTTTGAATTTAAATATTTAAGAACACTTTAAAAATATATTAATATTTAGAACATTTACCTGTATTCCTTATAGTTTAGTTTGAAATATTTCTGTTATGTTAAATACTTAAAATATGAGCAATAAACAATTATTTAATTAAAAAAATTAATAATTAAAAATCCCTGGCTCATAACGTTATTTTTCAAGTAAATACTTTTTTTTTAAATTCGAATATTTAAAATCTTTTTATAAATATTGTAAACAAAATAGTATATACAAGTTTTTTAATTAAAAACAAAATTAATACAATTAAAACAATTACTTTTTATTATCAAATATTTTGTTAAATAAATGTAAGCCCGATATGCGAGGGTCTTCAGAAATATGATTATGAATGTTGTCAAAATGTTCCTGAAGCAAATAGAACTTAGCAATATTCTTCAGAAAATGTATAGGATGTTTTGCTGGACTTAAATTCTAAAACATTTTTTTCTTTATTATTAACTTTTCCATTTATAAAAAAATGTGTCAAAAATATAAATGTAATTTAGTTTATATTTTTGTCATATTTTTATACCCTACACCCTAACATGGAGAGGGAAGCGAGATAGTTACTTTTGAGGATCTTCATAGAATCACTTTTTGAAAGAGACGTCGGACGTCTGTCCGTCCGTGCGTCTGTCCATGTATTCTTGTGAACAAAACGCAGGTTGAATTTACTATCCAATAGAGATGAAATTTTCCAACCAACATTTGTTTGGCCCAAGGACGAACCCTATTAAAATTGCTGAGGATCGATTCAGATTTGGATATAGCTCCCATATATATTTTCAACCGATTTGGATTAATTGTACCCCAAGTGGTCAATATCAGTCCTAATGATCTGAATTTTGGTACATCCCACCGAATTAAGTCTAGAGGCATATACATCAAATATGGAGAAAGACGGTTCAGATATAGTTATAGCTCCCATAAATATGTTTAAACCGATTTGGTGTTTAGATTTGGATGTAGCTTCCATATATATCTTCAACCGATTTGGATTAATTGTACACCAAATGGCCAACATCAGTCCAAATCACCTGCATTTTGGTACATCCCGATTTGGTGTTCCCAAAGTCCCTCATATTCGTAATATGCACCCCACAAGAATTATACTTGGTACCAGATCTCAGATACATCCCAGAAATACCTATGTAGAAATGCATTAAGATCGGTTCAGATTTAGATATAGCTCCCATATATATCTTCAACCGATTTCGGGATAATTGTGCACCAGATGGCCCATATCAGTCCTAATGACCTGAATTTTGGAAAATCCGACCGAATTTAATTTAGAAGCAAGTATACCAAATTTGGTGAAAATCGGTTCAGATATAGCTTTAGCTCCCGTATATATGTCTCATTCGATTTGGTCTTTAAGTCTCCCACATTCGTAATATGCACCCCACAAGAATGATGTTTGGTATCAGATATCTGATACAGCCCGGAAATACCTATGACGAATTGTATCAAGATCGGTTCAGATTTGTATATAGCCCCCATATACATCTTTAAAAAATTTCGGGATTATTGTTTACCAGATGGCCAATATCAGTCCTAATGACCTGAATTTTGGCACATCCGACCGAATTTAATTTAGAAGCAAGTATAGCAAATTTCGTGACCTAATGACCTGAATTTTGGTATATCCGACCGGATTCAGTCTAGAAGCAATTATACCAAATATGGTGAAAATCGGTTCAGATATAGCTTTAGCTCCAGTATATCCGATCATCCGATTTGATCTATAAGTCCCTCACATTCGTAATATGCATTCGACAACAATGATGTATGATATCAGATATATTATAGAGCTCTGATATACATTTACCAAAATTTATCGATATCGGCTAAGATTTGGAAATAGTTCCCATAAATATTTTTAATCCGATTTAAGGTTTATTGTGCAAATAATGGTTGATATCGCCCCAATGGAATGAATTTCCATTTGGTGGAACTCGGCTCCGATATATATAGTTTTTAATAAAGTCCTTCTCGAAGTGATATCATGCACTCTGTAGCAATATTATTTGGTATAAAACATAAAAATGTCTTCGTCAAATTTAGTAAAAATTGTTTCAGAATTGGATATACCTGCCAATTAATAGATCCCTCTCAAACCAAATTAAAAATTATACCCCCATAAACATTTAGGGCAGGCGAAATGTTGATAAGTGGTAAAATTTACTTCAAATAAATTATTTTGTTACGGGAGCTCTACTAAATTTGCACAGTGGTGTAGGATATCATATAGTCGGCCCCGCCTGACTTTTGACTTTTTCTTACTGCTTTATGAATAGAATATGAAAAAAAAATATTTTTCAGAATTTTAAATAATTGTATTTATGTCCAGCGAAACATATTATTTTTGATGTATAATCGTGGGTTATTAATATTTCATAGCAAAATCTTGCAGAAAATATTTATAAAATAATACAAATAATATATCTTATATATAAATACATATATCTTAAAAAATAATTATTATAAGAGAATTTTTCTCTCCAAAGTTGGTATAGGATTTAAACCTTTTTCCAATACAAAATACATTTTTCCATTCAATTTATAATCTCCCAAGAAATTTTCATATCCTAATTCTAAAAGATTATTATCAGTTTACTCTCAATTGTATCCATACATTCGAATCACCCTGTAACAAGATATATGCAACTACAAAAGTTCTTATTTCTTGTTCTCCTTTTTTTTTCTTCGAACAATGTCAATGAGATATTGTTCTCATTTTTTATTCATAAATGTTTCTCACTTTAACTTGTTGTTGTATATGTATGTCAGTGAGTTAGCATTTTTTTGTTGTTGTTGCAGTACTCTGTAACGGTAAATGTATGCTTACCTGATCAGTTATCCATCTTAACTCTTTCAATATTAAAGCCAATTCGTATTCAGCTGATGAACTTAGACAGGTGTGTGATATGGCTTCATGCATTCGTGTGTCGCCAACAGGACCAACGGGGCCAACACTGCCATCGTCACCTTGTCTGTAAGTTTAAGTAATATTTACATTTACATACATACGCAAACACACACACGCGAGTACATGCATAATGTTCAGACATTAATGGATGTATGTTGGGGTGTATATGTGTATACATACATGCACATACATAATATGCTTAGGAAATTATGTATGAATTTATGCATACATGTGTATGTATGTATGTATACATATATGATGTATGTATATGCTTATATTAGAGAACACATATTAACATGGTATGTGTGTTTTTGTGCGTTGTTTTGTGCACGAGGAAATACTTTATGTATATTACACGCACACAAACATACACACATCCATATACATTTAGGCTTTAAAGCCCCGTGTTAGGTGCGTGCGTATGAATACATTTGTATTTCAAAATAACAGTGTTGTGCAAAACTACATGGAACAAAATACACAATTAAATAAATAAATAAAAAAAACAACTACAAAGTAATTGAAAGAAAAACATTGATAAATTCTATAGAAACAAAAAATGGGAATTTCGGGTAGAAAAAAAGTAGCGATAGGGTTATTTAATGGACCATCTACTCACGACGACAACCCACTACCCCATAGCAGATGTCTACTTTGGTCACAGTAGTAGATGAGCAGATGTCATCAACAGTGGGGTAATCTGATTGAAGTAATCTTCACTACAGTAGATGACTAATGACGTCATCTTCACTACAGTAGATGACTGATGACGTAATCTACTCTAGAGTAGATGACTGATGACGTAATCTACTCTAGAGTAGATGACTGTTGACGTAATCTACTCTAGAGTAGATGACTGTTGACGTAATCTACTCTATAGTAGATGACCAGTGGGGTCATTTACTCTATAGTAGATGTCCAGTGGGGTCATATACTCTATAGTAGATGTCCAGTGGGGTCATATACTCCATAGTAGATGACCAGTGGGGTCATCTACTCTATAGCAGATGTCCAGTGGGGTCATACACTCTATAGTAGATGTCCAGTGGGATCATCTACTCTATAGTAGATAACCAGTGGGGTCGTCTACTCTATAGTAGATAACCAGTGGGGTCGTCTACTCTATAGTAGATGACCAGTGGGGTCGTCTACTCTATAGTAGATGACCAGTGGGGTCATCTACTCTATAGTAGATGTCCAGTGGAGTCATCTACTCTATAGTAGATGTCCAGTGGAGTCATCTACTCTATAGTAGATGACCAGTGGGGGCATCTACTCTATAGTAGATGACCAGTGGGGGCATCTACTCTATAGTAGATGACCAGTGGGGGCATCTACTCTATAGTAGATGACCAGTGGGGGCATCTACTGTATAGTAGATAACCAGTGGAGTCATCTACTCTATAGTAGATGACCAGTGGAGTCATCTACTCTACAGTAGATGACCAGTGGGGTAATCTGCTCTACTGTAGATAACCAGTGGGGTCATCTGATCTACAGTAGATGACCAGTGGGGTCATCTACTCTACAGTAGATGACCAGTGGGGTCATCTACTCTACAGAAGATGACCAGTGGTGTCACCCACTCTACAGTAGATGACCAGTGGGGTCATCTACTCTACAGTAGATGACCAGTGGGGTCATATACTCTACAGTAGATGACCGGTGGGGTCATCTACTCTACAGTAGATGACCGATGGGGTCATCTACTCTACAGTACATGACCAGTGGGGGTATCTACTTTATAGTTGAGGACCAACGACGTCATTGTTTTATTGTAGCTGGTGTTTTAGTGGCAGACTATTGGAGTCACCTGCCAAATACATTTGATATTTTGTTAGTTTTGTTTTGCACAATACTGTAATATATTCATATACATGTTGGCTTACTTAGTCCTTCATTGGGTTTAATTTCTTTTTTGTTGGGTTTGTTTTTTTTTTTTTCAAAGGTGGAATAGATTAAGTAATCATCATTTCTTTCTATTGCATTGTTAAATAAAATTTTATTTTTTTTTTAAATATCGGACGATACGTTTCATATTAAATTGTAATAAAATTTTATGTAGCAATGCACAGTTTCAGATTGGAGTACTTGGAGTTTTCTACATACGTACATACATAAACAACATTAAGCTTAAAGTGGGAAAATGGCCGTGGAGTTGTTAAGAAAAATATTTTCCTAAGGACAAATGTGATTAAAAAAGAAATATTTTTTTTAAGATCTGGGACGGAATTTTTCAAAAAAAAAAAAAAAAAAAAAAAAATATTGTCCTGATGACCAATATAGATTTTAAAAAAAATATTTTCCCAAAAACTTCTGAGCTATTATCACGGATTTTTTATGTTTTGATTATTCTTACTAAATACTTAAATGTTTAATAAAAATCCATTTTTGGATATTTTTTGTTCTGTACCATGCGGTAATTCGACGTGGGATTATCTGAGAGCTATATAACAGTCAGTCGATCATTCTTCACTAAAAAACACTTGGATTTTGTCAAATATTTCTTTCCTTTTGATTATTTTTTGTTTACTTTAAACAATTTGTTTGCTATATTCACTTAAAAATATTTATTTAAACAATATCTCTGAATAAATTTAAATTATTTATGGAAATCTTCACTTTCAAAACATGATACTTTCATATTAAAATATCATATATTTCAACCCCTCACAAAAAATACCTTGTTAAACTCAGCACGTGCGAAACAATCTGACAAATATTCTCAAATTTGTCAACCCCTAAATGCAATGACTGTTCAACAAGTCAATGGGAAAAATTGACGTTTTCCTCCGAAAAACGAACGAAAGAAAGCAATAACATCAAAGGAAAATGGAATGGAACAAGAGAAAAACACATCAGTGCTTTTAACCTGAAATAAATGATTCTATTATGCTTGCCATTGCTTTACCTCTCAACTTGTTGTTGTTTGGCTGTTGGTTGGGCGCCATCGTTTGTTTGGCAAAGCTGTTGATGTTTTGACGCACATCTTAATGGCAACAGCACCACCAATCACTTTTATCAATCGACAAGACAATATGACAATAACACCAATATCATATCCGTTGATTTACTAACGTTCGGTTTTTGGTTTTTTTTTTCGGTTTTTCCGCCCGCAGCAGCAATGGCAACAACAACAGCAATCACATTCACAAGTTGTTGTTAACTCAAAGATACAATCTTATTCCTCTTCTTCGTCTTGTGTGGATATTCTTTCGTTCATCTACCCAACTGACTTTTAGTTGATGTCCCTGAAAGACTTGACATTGTATTGGTATCGGTATTGGTGTGAATGTATGTGTGTGACCTGTTCTTTGGTTCATGGTTTTCACAATCACGACAACATTGTTTGGTGCTAACGCACGCGAAGAAGCAACAATGTTGTTATCAATGCCATGTAAGAATAACCACTTACTTGCATGGGTGAGTAATGGAGCGCTTAGCGCAGAGCTGCGTAGATATGGGACATTTCGAATGAAAAGAAGACACTTTGGAATATGAGACTTTCTCAGGGGAAAGACGGGGAATAAGAATTTTTTTCGGGAATAATATTGTATATAAGTACATATCTAGGTTAAATTGTTTCTTAGAGAAATTTAAATGTAAGTCCAAGTTTGAGTATAAGACTTACTAGGATTAAATTAAAATATAAGTGTTATTATTCCGGATATACTTGTTCTTTCACATAATAGTCAATATAAGTACACGAGTTGGTATAAGACTTCTTTGGAAAAATTGTCAATAAAAGCCCATGTTTTAGTATGAGTTTCTAAAAATGAATAATTTACAGTAGTCCTGGTTTTGGCATGAAATTTCTTTAGATTTTTTTCTCATTATAAGAGCCCGAATTAGTATAAGACTTTTTTGAATACTATTTCAATTTAAATATATGTTTTGACATAAGACTACTTTAAAAACTATTTGTTCTTAATATAAGACATCTCTGAAAACTATTCAGTTTGAGTTCACGTATAAGTCGGTTCAAGCTAATTTTTGTAGAAGTCACGTCGGATAAATAAAAATAAGAACCCATTAAAAATTAATCAGCTTATATTCAAGTTTTCCTTAAAAAACAAATTCGTATAAGTTCACGATAAGGAAAAACCACAAGTTTACTTTACCTTAAAAAATGTCAGTATAAGCCCACTTTTCGGCATAAGTCCACGTCAATATTTCAACCAGTATTAACCCATGTTTCAGTCAGGATAACTTCACATTTTTGCCAGTATAAGTCCACATCTTGGCCAGTATAAGTCAACCTTTTGGCCAGTATAAGTCCACATCATGGTCAGTATAAACCAACCTTTTGGACAGTATAAATCCACCTTTTGGTCAGTATAAGTAAACCTTTTGGACAGTATAAGTCCACACTTCAGTCGGTATAAGCCCACGTTATATTCAGTGTAAGTCCACGTTTTATTCAGTATAAGTCTACGTTATATTCAGTATAAGTCCATATATCACTCAGTATAAGTCCACGTTATATTCAGTATAAGTCTATATATCACTCAGTATAAGTCCACGTTATATTCAGTATAAGTCCACGTTTTATTCAGTATAAGTCCACTTTTTATTCATTATAAGACCACGTTTTATTCAGTATAAGTCCACGTTATATTCAGTATAAACCCACTTTGTATTCAGTATAAGTCTACGTTATATTCAGTATAACTCCACGTTATATTCTGTATAAGTCCAAGTTATATTCAGTATAAGTCCACGTTATATTCAGTATAAGTCCAAGTTATATTCAGTATGAGTCCTCGTTATAATCAGTATAAGTCCCTATATCACTCAGTATAAGTCCACGTTATATTCAGTTTTAGTCCACGTTATGTTCAGTATAAGTCCCTATATCACTCAGTATAAGTCCACGTTTTATTCAGTATAAGTCCATATATCACTCAGTATAACTCCACGTTACATTCAGTATAAGTCCCTATATCACTCAGTTTAAGTCCACGTTTTATTCAGTATAAGTCCATATATCACTCAGTATAACTCCACGTTACATTCAGTATAAGTCCACGTTATATTCAGTAAAAGTTCACGTTATATTCAGTATAAGTCCTAGTTATAGTCGGATATGTCAACGTTATATTCAGTATAAGTCCATGTTATATTCAGTATAAGTCCAAGTTATATTCAGTATAAGTCCACTTCATATTCAGTATAAGTCCAAGTTATATTCAGTATAAGTCCACGTTATATTCCGTATAAGTCCACGTTATATTCAGTATAAGTTCAAGTTATATTCAGTATAAAACCACGTTATATTTAGTATAAGTCCACGTTATATTCAGTATAAGTCAAAGTTATATTCAGTATAGGTCCGTCATATTCAGTATAAGTCCACGTTGTATTCAGTGTAAGTCCAAGTTTCACTCGGTATGAGTCCACGTTATATTCATTATAAGTTCACGTTATATTCAGTATAAGAACACATCATATTCAGTATAAGTCTACGCTATAGTTAGAATGAGTTCCTCTTTTCTTGGAAATCTTTTTCAATATAGGTCAACATTTTAGTCTGTATAAGTGCACGTTATAATCACTATAAGTCCACGTTTAAGTCAGTATAAGTCCCCGTTTTCTAGGAAAATGGAATTCAGTATAAGCAACATTTCAGTCAGTATAAGTCCATTTTAAAGGCATTCAGTATAATTCTTTGCTTTAATATCGTATAAGTCCTTGTTTCAGTCAATATAAGTTCACATTTTGGTCATTATAAGACCACGTTTTCCCAAAAAAAAAAAACATTCGGTAAAATCAAAATTACAGTCAGTATAAGTCAACACTATAGTTAGTATAAATCCTCAGGAAAAGGATTTCGGTCAAAATAAATTCACTTTCATGTAAGTATAAGTACTCGTTTTCTTGGAAAATGGCATTCATATAAGTCAAAATTTGAGTCGGTATAAGTCCAGTATAAGTCAAAGTTTCCTTTAAAAACATTGAGCACACAACCAAGCCTCCAAGCTTCAGTCAATAAGTCTTCGTAGTAGCCTATATAATACCTTGGAATAATATAAGTTTGCGGTTATTTTATTTCTGATACAATTGCGGTCCACCCCATTCCTACTTCCTTTAATTTTGTACCTAAAGCTAATTCTCTATTTTCGTGTTTCTCTCCATTAAAAAAACACACACACACACACACACATTAGTCTGATAATCTTTCCTGCAATGCCCCATATATCAGAGGACACGTAGCGTGTAGCTGCATGTGGCAAACCGTGCTCTAAGTGATTCATGAATGTTATGGTGATTACACGTCGCAAATCGTTCATTCATAATCAAACTTGCCATAACAAGCAACAAACAAGATTTCTTCTTCTTCTTGCTTGCCATTCGGTGCTTGGGAATGATGATTGAGTAGACAACAGGAGTCAAAAGTCAACGAGTGATAAACGCTCTAAATGACAGTTTGAAATGAAGATTTGCAGAAGTGTCATTTAAGAAGGAAGAAAAAAAGCCAAAAACAACAGGAAGGAAATGTCAGAACTAATGAAATTTCATTCGCAGAGGTTGGAAGTTCAGATACATATTAAGTGCAAAGCTGCTGAAGACATCCGGGGTCGTCATGTTTCCAGAGAAATATTGGATTTTCAATGAAGGAAGTTTTAAGGTTGGTGAGAGTCTGAAAAAAAAAAACAATCTCTTCCCGACGTAACGGCACGGACCATTTGAATATGCTTCTTGCATTATAATTTAACTTAAATATATATACATACATCAGACTCTATAGTAATATTTATCGATATTTGGGCTGTTTACTAAGAACTTAAAATCTTAACCCGAAAGGTAATAAAGATTAATATTGAAATACTTCATCGGATTACATCTTCGAGCCCTAGTGAAAGATTTAAAAATAATTTTGTATGTCACCGCGTTTTGATGGTGTTGTACGCAATGAAAAAGCGCATAGCGGAGTAGTAAATAGTTAAATATTCATTTTCTGACCAACCTGTATTTATACAACCTAGGTCTAAAGACTCACATCTGAGAACCCATGTTTTTTTCCCTTTTTCTCCATATGTAAATGGATGTAGGCACAAGTATTAGAAACCTGAATATCAGTCCTTTCTTAAGGATTTCCATATGCTTAAAACGAAGCTTTAACATAGCAGTCGGTGTTACAGAGAAGGCTGAAAAAATTGAAGTTAGTCAGTGATGATTATGCCTAATAACTAAGTGTATATTAAATAATAAAATGGACAATACTGGTCCTCGTCTAAAGCACTGTTTGTTTATGCTATCTAGAGCCACACACTCACAGAAATCATCACACCGAATTTTAAAATTCCACTACCCTCCATTTAAGAATACATCATAGTCTAAATTCTGTGATTCTTATACCAACTCCATCTCTTTTCCTACACTATATCCGAAATTTAGTACCATTTTGTACTTTTCGTACACTTTATACTGCGGAATTCCAAATCCATTTCCTTAGCTAGATTCTACACACTCACAGCCATCTATATACCAATATTTAGAATTCATGCACTTTTCGTACCCTATACACCAAATTTAGTACCAATGGATTGTTTTCATACACAAAATATATTTCGCATTTCCAAATCAAACTTCACATCCGTGTCTAAACGCTTCACATTTCACAGTTATCCTAATACCTAAATATAATACAAATTCAAGCATAATTTAAAACTTGATTCCAATATAAAATTTTAAGATTTGAGATTTATCCTCATCGAAATAACGGTGCTAGAATTATAGAATAATTATAACTCTTAAAATTATAACTCTTATAAATGTGAGTGTAAGATATCAATGAAGATCGTAAAACACGAACCTAACATCCGATTCCATTCAGACTTGGTACATCTCAATATTTCCTTCAACACAAGATCTGTTAAAAAGATGGTAGAGATCGAACCCATTGTAGCCCAGTTTTTCATGAAATCGTCTGAAATCCATACAAGAAGTTCTTCCTAAGCACTTTACCCCCTGGAAGACAAATGTCCACGATATCGTATAGCCCACATACAGCGATACCTTCCGATATTCGACATTTTGACGATTGTAGGGACATTATTATGTCTTCGTATAGCCTCCATATAACGGTAACTCCCAATATTTGGTATTCTGAAGATTTTATCTACATTATTTATCGGAGTTGTATCAAATTTTGTATTTAGAGTTCGTAATGGAAATTACAGTCTACGACAGAGAATTGTCTATGCAGGTCCAGGTTTTCATATATATATATATCATCAGAACCTCCCATATATCAGTACCTCCCTATATTCGGAATTTTGACGATTTTAGGTACACTATTCACCGAAATTGTTCGAAATTTCGTATTTGAAGTTCTTAATGTGACATAAAATTGTCTATGCAGGTTCCGGTCTTCGTATAGCCCCGATATAACGGTACTCCCCTATATTCGGTATTTTCATGATTTTAACCACATTAATCGAATATTGTTATGGCCTATGGCCAAAGTTGGCTATCTTCGTATAGACCCAATTATAACGGATACATTCGGTATTTTGAAAATTTTAACATAATTTTTAAGGGATTTTATTTTTTTTCTGAAAATTTCCAAAATCGTTTCAAAGGCGGCCGAACTTACTGCTTTTTTACTTGTTTTTACTCCTCCTCGAAACTCTGTTTTCTTCCCAAAACCATTGTCATCAATTTTTCTCAGGATAATGAAATACATTATTTGCTAATCTTTTGTTAACAACATAGCCTTTGATTTTGAACAATCAATATAAAATAGATTCTTGATTCTCAATCCACAGTAAGAGAATTTTTATTTCGATTTAAGGTCTACTGATATCGACTTTTGAACCTAAACCAATCATTCGCCTATTCTATCTCTCAATTTCTACCAGTTTTTAACCCTTTTAAATATCAAAAATTAGGTATTGCCATATTTTTCATGGCAATTTGTTTTTGATAGATTATTTTTTATTATTGTTATTATATAATCAGTGAAACAGCTAAAATTGACCCCTTAAATCTAAAAATGTATTAATCATTGTTATCAATCTAAAAAATATAGCAATAATTACAATACACATATAAAATTTAAAAACAGCTAGCCTTGTTAGTAAATACATCAATAAAATAAAATATTTTTTTTTTTTGAAGAAAAAAAAAAAAAAAAATAAATATTGAAATTGTTAGTTTTGAAATAGGTTGATGTGTGCAATGTGAAAAAAAAAACATCGATATCTTCAAGTTACGCTCAACATCCATAAACCATCCTTCTTTTCTTTTTTTTGCGTTGGAAACAAATTTTGGACTTACCTGTACATGGTGCGATAATAGGTCGGCTGATGCGGCAATGTGGCACTGGCACAGCGATGATTGCAACGGAAGTCATCATCGATATCCAAAACATTGGCTAACAACGACTTGGAAGATCTGTACAAAAATTACAAATGAAATGAAATCAATTGAAATATTGACCCTGGGTGTGGAGAGGAGGAAACAGTTCCAGGTGGAGATTTAAGGGGGATATAGGGGGTGGGGGGTTGGAGCGTGGAGATAGGTGTTAGTTACCCTTGGGCATCCAACCAATTTTTGTGTTGTTCTTTTTGTTTGTTTTTTTGTACAAAAATTACCTTTCCTTCAGTTCAACATTCTGTATGTGTTGCTTCTTGTCGCCATTGTTGGAGGATGTCGACGACGATGATGGTGGCGGTGGGCATTCATAGCCAACCTGTCCCGGTCTTTGCATGCGCAAAATGCAAGGTAACCAATAAAGGAATATTACTCTTATCTGGTGGTGGTGGAGGTGGTGATGGTTTGTTTGGTTTGATTTGGTTTTGTTTTTGGTCACAGTGGCCAGAGAACAGAATAGTAGTGGAGTAGAGTTGTGGTGATGATATACGTAACGGTATTTTTTTAATGTTTATTTTTGGTTTAGAATTTAATTTTTTTTTTTAATTAAATATATTTTTTAAAATTAATTTATTTAATTCGTTTTTAAGAGATTTAGACAGAGAGAGAGGGAGAAGGTTTGGAGAAGAATTTAAGGAGATTCATGTGGATATCGGCCGTTGAATGAAGTTAGAGTTGTTGTTGTTGTTGTAGTTATTTGTTGTTGTTATTGTTGTCAAACAAGATGAGGTGTTGTAGTTTTCAAAAGGTGTTTTGAGAAGGGTCAATATTTTTTAGTTTTTGGTATTTGGCGTTTCCATTCGAATTTGTTTTTGTTACACAAAAGTGAAATTTTTTTAAAAAAAGTTTAAGAAAAAATATATAGCTGTTAAGTTTTATGTCATAGAAAAAATTTTATAAATAAAAGTGAAATATTTGTATATGGAAAAATTAAAAGAGGAAAAAATATTTGAAAAGTATATATATAAAAATATGATAAAGTGTTTATTTTACAAAATTATTTTTTTCTTCTTTCATTTGTTTGGCATGCAATTGTGTATTAATTTTTTTAATTTTATTTTTAAGAATTAAGCTGAATTTTTTTTTCTTTAAAAGCAAAATATTTTTGGTTGTTGTTGATATTTTTATATATTTTTTAAGTGTATTTTTGTTTTTTTTATTATCATATATTTTTTCGTGTGTGGGTGGTAATGTGTAGAAGGGAGTTTGTGGTGGTTGTAAAGAAATGTGTTTGTGTGTGTGTGAGTTTAAATATTTTAAAATATTGTGGATGTATGAAACACAAAAAGAAATTGATAATTGAAGTTATATAGAAAATGATGTTTTGTTTGTGAAAAATTAAAATATAAATGTTTTTTTTTTATTTCAATAAAACAATAATTTTTTTTTCAATTTATAAATCTGTTGTTGTTTTTTTCATATTTTTTATTTTTTTTTGTATTTTTTTTTTGGTAGATACTTAGAGAGAGAGAGAGAAAAAAGGAAAAAGTATTACCCATTCACTCATTTCATGCGTATCTGGATTTCTATGATGATAATTGAGGATAAGTATGGTTGACACAACTGATGAAGCCACCATAAACATAATGCAATTGAAATAAGTTCCTAGAAGGACACAAAAATTACACAAATATTGTACTTACTTAGGTTCATTTAAGTAAAGTTTTTTTTTTTGGTTTTGTTTTGTTGAAGAACAAAAAAAATTGTTAATAGATTTGTTTTCGCTATTCGTTTTGTTTTTTTTTTTTCTTAACGTACATTTTTTCTTCTTCTCATTGTTAGAAAAAGTTAATTCGCAGAATTGCTTTGATTTGAATATTAAAGTTATTATTATTTGTTTCAAAAAAATGCCATTTACAAATATTTGCATTTAATTTTTCCCTTGTTATTTGATTGTGTAAAATTGTGGGAGGACGTCTCATAACTTTGAAGTTAAGGATAAATCCAAAATTTTTGGAAAGCCCTGAATTTTTTGTACTTTTTTGAATTGATAAACGTTGATATTTAAAATTTCAATTGTTTAGATAAAGAGGTCGAAATGTAAACATGGATATAACTGAGATATATACTAGGAAAGCAAAACTGAGGGCACTTCGATGAATCACTCTTCCAGAAAAAGACAATCAACATTCTTAGTAACGTAAAATTTCTGGGTGTGATTCTAGATAGGAAACATAACTGGAGAGACCACATCCAAGCAAGAGTTTATAATGCTTACAGTTACTGGGCAACGTGTTAAAGGGCTACAGACTCAATCCAAAGATAACACATTGGCTATTCAGAATCGTAAGTTCTAAAATTTAGGGTAACAACCGGTGAGCCAAAATCATACCAGATATCTGAAGCAATTATAGCTAACTCATATGAAACATTAATTACCACTAGAGGATCGACTTTTCTTATCATAAATGCTTACTCACTCTGTTAATTCACACTTGGCTCTGTGCTAGAGGGGAGATCAGAACTGGGACTTTTTACTGAAGAACCATATACCGTAATATCTTCGCTTGCCCAATCATAATACGAGCCCTCAACCATTGCAGAGTGTCAGAACTGACTTAATGGCAACACATACCGGCTACCATAAACGTTCTAAAGAACAGTAAGATCGCAATAAAACGACGACAGTAAATTCAAGGGCTATATTGGTATGTATTGTGGGTAACAGGGGCCTACAAGCTTATTTAAACAAGATAGAATGTACAGATAATAGCATATGCAGGGGAATATGGTGAAACGTTGGAAGATTTTCTCTGTTAATGCCCAGTATGTGCAAATATCAGATCCCAATTTTTAGGGAACGACTCCATAACATATCTTAATCAGATCATGGTAAATTAAACAAGTAAAAAAGCTGTAAGTTCGGCCGGGTCGAACATTGGAAACCCTCCTCCATTTGGTAACATTTAAAAATTTTCAAAAAATAAAATCCTTTAAAAATTCTGTTAAAATCTTAAAAATACCTAATGTAGCCGTATATGAGAGTCTATACGTGGACCTGTATAGGCAACTTTTTTCACAAGCTATTACAATATTCAAATGCGAAAAAAGTCTGTTTATAATGTAGCTAAAATCATCAAAATACCGAATAATACCGTTATATGGGGGCTAGACGGAGACGTTGACCTACATGACTCATTTACCGCCTTAGGATGTAGTATCCATTACGAACTTCAAATACCAGAATGTAAACGATTCCGGTAAAAAATGTCGCTAAAATCATCAAAATACCGAATATTGAGGGGTACCGTTACATGAGGGCTATACGAAGACGTGGATCTATATGGCCCATTTTCTGTTTTATGCTGTAGTATCTATTATAAACTTCATATTTGGAACAATTCCGGTAAATAATGTCGCTAAGATCATAAAATTACCGAATATCGGGAGGTACCGTTATTTATTTATTTATTTATATGGGGGCTATACGAGGACATGGACATGGTAGCATCTATTACGAACTTTAAATATTAATTTTGAAACAATTCCGGTAAAAAATGTCGCTAGAATCATCACAATACCGCATATCGGGAGGTAGCGTTATATGGGGGCTGTACGAAGACCTGGACCTACCACTTTCAATACCAAAAGTCCTGCAGACATAGTACACATTTGAGTAAAATTTTATCAACCTACTTCATTTCGTTCGGAAGCTAGAGTCATTTCCACAGACGGACAGACGGACGGACATTGATAAATCGACATAGAATTTTATGCTGATCAAGAATATATATATTTTGTGAGGTCTAAAATGTATATTTCGAGGTCTTACAAACGGAATGACAAACTTAATACAAAATTTAAGGAATTTTGTTTTGACAACTGAACTTTGGTATAATAAACTGCTAGATTTCATTCAATAACTTTAGTCTAGAGTGCCAAACAGTCCTATACTGGTTTGAATGTATGTCACACGATTTTTCCGATTTTTTCAGAATAAAGAGAGTGGCCTAGCTGTACAAAGGTAGTTTTTTTGTGATTTACCGGCGTTTCAAGTATACGCAGGAAGTGGTCATCATGCGAGTGGTATTAGTTCGTCTAAGAGTTGAACCACAATTTGTATTGGACAAAAGTGGAACAGTAACTAACAGTATATGAAAAACGATTACATTATACGATACCTAAACCCACTCACTTTGTACGCAGTCAATCCTAGTGGTTCTAGAACAAAGAAGAAAAAAAAAAATATTTTTTTTTTCATTTTTATACCCACCACCCTGGTATGGAGGGTATATAAAGGTTGTCATTCAGGTCTTTTGACATTGACCTGTATGGTATTTTGATGATTAATGTCACAGTTTTCACCGTAAATGTTTTAAATTTTGAATTTTAAGTTATGACAGCAAACTGCTCATGCAGGTCCACGTCTTCGTATAGCCCCAATATAAAGGTACCTCTCTATATTCAGTATTTTCATGATTTTAGCGACAATATTCACCGCAATTGTTTCAAATTTCGTATTTGAAGTTTCTAAAGGATGCTATAGTCTTTAACAGAAAATTGAATATGCAGGTCCTGGTCTTTGTATAGTCCCTATATAAAGGAACCTCCCTATATTCTGTATTTTCATGATTTCGTTAAGAATTTTCAATTTTTTTTTTTTTGAAATCCGATGGGAGATGTTGTTAACAGGTACTTATGATTCTGACAAAAAATTATGAAAATAGGTTAGCGTTTGCATATAGTCCCCATGTAAAGGTACACCCAGATATTCGGTATTTTCATGAGTTTTGTAATTTTTTTGGTGGAATTGTCTTCCTCTAACCGAAAATTGTCTCTATAGGTCCAGGTATTAAATCATCTCTACATAACGGTACCCCTTCGATGCGGTTGTTATAATTCGGAATATTTTGTTTTTAAATTTGCCACTTTAAATAGATATTTTAGGAAAAATATATAAAAAAGTTCCTAATGTTGGAGGGTTTCCCCGTGGAGCCTTCCTCCACGGTTTTTACTTGATATGTTTTAAACAACATTTTTCAAACAATTTTTCTTCGAAAATTTGAAAATTCCTTCCGGCCGAACTTACTGTTTTTTACTTGTTTCTTTTTTGCATTCTTTATTCCAAGGAATCTCCTTACCTCATAGCTCAATAATATTGTTGTTTAATTTCGAAACTTTTAGTACTTTTTTTGTACCCTTGAAGTCGGAATTTCTAAAAATCCTTACCATCGCGCAAAAATTTAAAAGTGAAGCTCTATTCGATTGTGAATTGACAATGAAGTAACTTTTATGCACGTTTTTAACCTTTAAAGTACTAATTACTAAAAATTTGACCTTATGTCGCTGATTCTCAACAAAATGTTGATTTTGTTTCTTTTTGTTGAATATTGTTATCTATTGTCAACATGAAAACAGAATTCCCAATATGTTTCAAATCCATAAATGGGTTTGAACCAGATTGGTCTAGGTAGCGTTTACATGTAAATCGTACTCATACGACCCTAGGTACGTTTGCACTGGAGTTGTGCCATTCTATTTCGATCGAAAAAATTAGTCCCATATCTAGATCTGTGGACTTCAGTCGTTCATATGAAAACTGTGCTTATGAGTAATATGATATATATGAAATCACTCATACGTTTAGGAAATGATGTGCGGAACTATGACACGACTCTACTTTCCTCATATTTTTTAATAATTTTTTTTGCAAACTTTCCATAAAAATATTTCAAACATTACCTTTCTCTCCAAAAAATAAATAATAAAAGATAGCTCAATTTCCCACATTTTACACAATCAAATAACTCAGCGCAAGTATACATTTCATTTATACTACTTTAAGAGTATATTTAAAAAAGGTATGAAAGAATATTTTGTTATTTTACATTAAAGTTAAGAGGAAAAAGTTGTTAAATATTTATATATGTTAAGGTTATAGGAAACATTAAGCATTTTCCACATTTTTTTTATTATTTTTTCATATAAAAATTGATTATATATTTTATTTTATTTGAATATATATGTTAAGAAAAAGTAGAAGAAATTTAAAAAAAATACAATATTAATTTATAGTACACAAATACAAATACTTGGTATTTAAATATTGTAAAAATATTTATATAAATATATAAAAGAAAATTATTTATAGACAAAAAAGTTTATGAATTGATTACCCAGAAGAAAGAAAATTATACATATATAAATCTCTATATAAGAAAAAGAAACTTAAGGCCCAATTCAAGCCAAAAGAAACTCAAAATCAGGGTAGTACTTTACCCAAACTTTGACCTGACTTGATTTGAACCTTGCATTTCTCTTTATTTTGTTGTTATATCTTTTTTTCATAATTTTTATACAATTCCCTATGGATTTTTTGTTGTTGTCGATTTCTTAGTCATTCGAATTGAATTCATTTGGAAAGAAAAGTAACGTCGATATCCTTTTTGTGCACAACCAATTATCCGCAATCATCATAAATCTGTTTAAAAATCGAGATTAATCATTGTTGCGTTTTCATTTGAGTACCCAAATCTAGATGGCGTTTAAAAATATTTGAAGAAATGCAATTTTGTTTTTTTTTTTGTTTTTGTGGAGGACAGAGGTAGGGGTCGTTCATGATTGTGATTGTTGTTGATTTTTTTAACTTTTTGTATCTATTAAGA